CTGAGTGCTATAGGCTATAAAACATCACGCTACGATCAAATGGAGCCGAGCAGCAGGTGAAACCGCGCGAAAGTAGCTAGTTTATTACGTGCGATATAAACTAACAAACTTAGAAATGTTACCTCTTTATAATATTAGTATAGATTGAACTTATATGCTTACTCGACCACCTAGTAAGCCCTAATTAAATACAATCACGACAAAAAAATGACGAGATTCCGTTAAAATCGGGTTTTTCATCGTTAAAACACACAACCGTTATAAACTGTGTTTGTCGAAATAATATTGACATCGAAAGTACCCATATTTGTTCTTAGATTTCGCGCCAACTTCGCTCGTTTACTTGTCTATGGCTTTTTTTATTTTTCTGTTTGAACATCTGTATTGCTTGCTTTTGGATTGTCAGATTTGTGGATTTTGTAGTTTTTTTTTTCTTGATGGTTGATATGGCATTTTTTATAATGCTGCGTTAGTACTTTCGTTTGAATTCATTATTAAAACTAAGTTAAGTTGAAAAGGTTATTAGTATAAGTAAGTACTAGCTTTTGTCCGCGACTCCTTTCGCGTGGAATAGTAACTTCCTGCAGATTTTTGGTAAAAAAACTATCCTATGTCCTTTCTCGAGTTCCAAACTATGTCTGTACCAAATTTCACAGAAATCGGTTCAGTAGTTTAGGCGTGAATAAAAGACAGACAAGCAGACAGAGTTACTTTCGCATTTATAATATTAGTTTGGATTAAGTATTAATGGTTTTTTTCATGTTACATTTTTTTTCGACAGTATTAATGACAAAAATTTTGACTTTTATGTGGTACTATTGTCTGTCTATGATTATATTATAAAGTTGAAGAGTTTGTTTGTTAGTTTGAACTCGTTGGATAGGTTTATTTTTTGAGAAAGACTATGAAAAATCTCGCTACGATCAAAAGCCAGGAGCCGAGTAACGGGTGAAACCGCATAAGAGTAGCCAGTCTTCTTCTTCTTATATATAAAAATGAATTGCGGTTCGTTAGTCCCGCTTAAACTCGCGAACGGCTGGACCAATTTGGTTAATACAATCTCTGCCTCTTGCAATATGCGTTGAAGTCCAGAGAAGTTTAAAAGATGTCTGAAATCTTGTAAGGTAGCACAGAGTTCGCCTAACCAGCTAATCTTATATATAAAAATGGATCGCAAAATGTGTTGTAAGCGCATAACTCAATAACGCCTGGACCAATTTGGCCAATTCTTTTTTTAAGATGTTCGTTGAAGTCCAAGGATGGTTCTTACGGCGAGAAAAAATCGAATAATTGCCGGGAAAACCCTAAAAACAGTCCTTTTCTTTTTCACATACAAACGTTTTCTAACTAAAACGTCCAATCAATTTGAGCTTTATTGCTGTTAGACATAAGGTTCATATTAAATAACAAGCACTCACTGTTATCTAAGAAATAAATGAAAGAAGAAAAGGTGTGTTCCTAACGTCAAAAAGTAAATTTGCACTTTCTTACCACTAAACAAAGTTCAAATTCAATCATCTATCAAAACAGTGTGCGCGTGTGCTTTGGAGCTGGAGCACAGAATTCGTCGCTTGAGGATTAATAAGTCGGGTTCCGAAAACAAAAAAAAAAATCCGATTTGAATGATTCTTTCAGTGTTATGTAGTCCATTTATCGAGGAAGGTATATTTTATTTAATTCAAAATTAGGGATCTGTAATAAAATTGCTATTTTGTAACACAAGGAGTAAAATCGAAAACCTATTTTTGCGTGCGCTGCCATAACTATTGACCATAGAACAAAATGATGTACTACGGGTTTGTAGATTCTATTAAAACCTACAAAAAGTCCGCGAGAGCATATATCTAGCTATCATGGTTTAATCACAATACCCGATTTTGTGTTCAAAATAATTATTAAATCGTCTGAAGGAAAAAAAGCGTTAAATATGTATCGTAATATTATTATTTATCGGAATTAAGCATTTTGTTATCAAGAGTATTTATTTATAAGTATTTTAAAATACTTTTTTATTTCCTCTCAATCTCTCAATCGTTTAAAAGTTATCATGTGTGTACGATGTTAAGAGTTGGTACCTTATTAATGAGTTATGGACCATAGAGTTTTTTATCAACATAAAATCCTGTAATAATATTTTTCGTAATATATTTGTTGATGATTGTAAGTATAAGATCTTTGAAGAGCATAAGAAATACATTTCTAAACTAACTCTGCTAAGGAAAAGAAAATCCGAGGAAAAACATACTTACATCTTAATTTGGAAATGTCGTTGCGGAAGCCATACGATGTAAATGAATTAAATGAATATATTACTGTAAATGCACCCAAGTTCTTTAATGACCAGGTAATGGCAAACAATAGTGTTATGCTCAGTGTTGTTTCAATGAGAGAAAAATATTTTTTTGGATGCTCCCGGCGGAACCGGCAAAACTTTCATTAGCTACTAATATGATATTAGCAAAAGTAAGGTCTCAGGGAAAACTAGCTTTGGCAGTAGCGTCATCTGGAATCGCTGCTACTATATTAGCTGGAGTACGCACAGCTCATTACACTTTTAAACTAACATAACCTAACCGTTCCGTAACAGAAAGAGCGTGTGCTCTTTTCGTAAAAATGGCCTTTAAGGCAAAGTTTTGTAAGGTGTCACTTTAATAATCTGGGATGAATGTACCATGATTCATAGAGCTCATGTGGAGGCTCTAGATAGGACTATTATAGATATTAGAGACTGTGATAAAATCATGGTTGGGATTACTGTCATGTTTGCTGGGGATTTTCGGCAAACTTTACCAGTAGTAGTAAGAGGAGACATTGTAAAAAATTGCCTTAAAAGTTCTCTATTATGGAAATTTGTTCATACCTTAAAACTATCTACGGACATGAGAGCATATTTGGGAGGAGGTAGTACAAATTTTTGCTTTGAAGTTACTTTTAGTTGGAGACGGAAAAGTACCTTATTTTGAAAATAAAATACCTATTGATCAAGATTTAGGAGAAAAAAAGACTAGCATTGAGAGTTAAATATCAAAAGATATCGTCGAAATAGAAAATAAAGATTATCAATGGAAGTGTGCATAGTCGGTGCGGTGGCTGGGCAACTGGCTGCCGTGCAACGTGTCGCGGGTTCGATTCCCGCACGGAACAACACTTTGTGTGATCCACAAATTGTTGTTTCGGGTCTGGGTGTCATGTGTATGTGACATTGTATGTTTGTAAACGCACCCACAACACAGGAGAGAATCCTAAAGTGTGTACAGTAGAGTAAAGTCTAAACAGTAGTGTTGACAAAATTAATGATTTAATTTTAACTAAACATCCAATGGATCAAGAATATGCAGTCCATTATCTACAGGGATGTTTTCATTCTTTAAATCCGAGGGGCATCCCATCACATTCTCTCAAGTTAAAAATTGGTGCCCCATTATTTTACTTAGAAATTTATGTAACGGGAGACTTTAGGTTTAATTTGTTCGCAATAACGTGATAGTTGCAATAGTTATGACTGGTCCTGTGGTTGGTCAAACAGTATTTAAACCTCGGATCCTAATGATTCCAAATGATTTGCCTTTACATTTTAATCCAATTCAGAAAATAAAACAAAAAATATAATTTACTCAGAAGTACTTTAAAATGATATTTGAACCCAGTTTAAAGTGGACGGACACTCCCGCCTGTAGTCGTAATTCTTACTCTGGCTGAATTTCGAACAGATAAACAGCTATTGCTTACTTGACTTATACAATTTAACTTAATCTATATTTTTCTTAATACTATACCTAAACATGAAAAGTTTGGTTGTTTGTTATGAAGGCGGTAATCTCGGGAAATGCTGATCTGATAATTATGAAAACTGTTTAAATATTCAATAGTCCATTTATTGAGGGAGGCTATAATATAGGCAATATTTTATCTCGGTATTTCCACGGAAACGACAAAAACGCGGGTGAAACCGCGGGGCACAGCTAGTCTATAATATAAAAATGAAACGCAAAATGTGTTGGTAAGCGCATAACTCAAAAACGCCTGGACCAATTTTGCTAATTCTTTTTTTGTTGTGTTTGTTATTGTTAGGAGAAGGCTCTTACGCAAGAAAACTTTGCAAAAATAAAAGGGAATAGCGGGAATCAACAACCCTTTCGGTGCCGTAGCAGTGCACTTGCAAAACAAATGGCTGAGACCGAGGTAGTAGGATATCCGTGCGAAGCAGGGGCGGACATTTTGCTAATTCTTTTTTTGTTGTGTTTGTTATTGTCAGGAGAAGGTTCTTATCAAAGAAAATGTTAGAAAAGTAGAGGGGAAGATTAGGAAAAAGTGACCTTTTGATAGCGAGGTAGTTGGGCCCGTGCGAAGCGGGGGCGGGCCGCTAGTATCAAATAAATATCATTTCTTACTCATACCAGACTTTAACCGTTAATATTAAATAGGTATAAAAATAAATGATTGCTTTACAAGTTGATTTATACCATAATCTAATACTAATCGAGCGATTTTAGACAAAAAGTGCTCCTGAATTGAAAGTTGTTCGTTCAATTTTGAAAGTAGATCTTATGATTAATAATACTTATTTTTTTAAGTCATATTTTATACATTATTTCGTTACATTCAAACGATTGATGTAATACGAATTATAAATAAGTACTTATTTTGAAATAAAATAAATAATATAATTTATTTCCAAATTAATTATAATTGTCTTATTGAGTAAGTTCTATCAATATTTTATTATAGAAAACGAATACGGGAACAGCGCCATCTACCTTCAGAAAAGAACAGTAATTTAGCCCTCTAGAGACGAATAGTGGCACTATTTTTTATTCGAACGACGTAACTTTGTAGCGACGTCGTTTTTTTATTGTATTTATTTGTTGATATTTGTATTTTAAATGTCTTACAATATAAATTATGTTCAAATAAAAAACGACCCAGGGCGGGAGACATCTTAGGATGACTTATACCTCTCAAAAAAAACCTCAAATTAATATAGCAAATTTCTTTCACAGTCGTTGATGCGGTCGATGTCAGTGGAGCAGCGCTGGCAGGATCTGGCGTCTCTGTTGACCATCCCCCCTCCCCCTCCCCCGGACCAGTACCAGCACTACCACCACCACCACGCCCACCAACATCCGCACCCTCATAATATTGCGTGAGTATTACAATGTTTTCATTACTATGACGACATTTTTGAGGCTATTTTAAAGAGCTTTTCGTCAGTCAGCAAGGTCTATTTTGGACATTGTTATAAAAACATTGTACTGTTAATGTATTCGCTTAGAAACCGGCTGTCGCGAAATATGTTGCGAATTCGATTTCCGCACGACGGTTTTTGTGACACAGTAGAAAATCCTAGTGTGGGGCAACTAATATAGAAACGAAATTTAAGTACAGTTTGTTAATATCTCATGTTTCAAAATAACTTTCGCTAATTGACATAAAAATGTATTAGAAAAATTAAAAATAATCTTAATCTATACAGCCGTTCTGGAGATCAGTACCTGTTTATAAACATGACTAACATAATATTTTCTGATTTCAGAGCGCATGGAGCCGCCGGCGGTTATGGCTCGAACTACCATGCTGCTATACCTCCCGTACCTGAAAAACACCCTGAAACCTATGGTAAGTAATAGAACTAAACCATGAAACAATGAATTTATTTTTTAAAGAGGCCGTAAAACAGTACATTTCAAAATTTTGGTAAAAAACTAGATGAAGCCGGTCTAAGAAACAAAAAAACAGATAATTTGTCGTTTGACATTATTTCTTTATTCATTTATACTTTTTGCACAATGTACCTACAGTGCAGACTTAACGTCTAAGGCATTATTACTCTACCAGTCCAGCATTTGGGTGGTGGTTTTTTTTTTGTGAGGCGAAAATCATCAAATGACTTCTCCCGCCCAGGGCCAGGCAGGAGGGAGTGTCAGACTCTTACTGACTAAAAACCCCCCGTTCCTTCTCCTGCTCTGTGCCGAGGTCGCGGTGCCTCATTGCGCTTACTCCGCAACCCCGGCTGAACATATTTGGGTGGTGGTGACATTATTATTTTTGCCTCAAAATGCATATACGTGTACCTGGTTACTCAGTTAATCTTTTAGAGCCATGCTTCGGCACGAATGGTCGGCTCGACCGGAGTGATACAACGGCCTCACAGTACACCCTTGTGAAACAACCACAGCATTGTTCTTTTCCGTTTGGACTGACGGAGACTCAATCTCCCCTTCTATTTCACATCCCTTATCCTCCTCAAGTGCCTTATCCTTATAAGAAGGTACGCATTATTATTATAGCTCATCTGGTGTTGCGAGTGACCGTGGTCTGCACCGATTGCTTACCATCAGGTAATCCATAGATTTGTCTGTCCTATCCTTCAGACATTAAAAAAACAGACTACAGCATTATGTTTCGCCGTGTGTGTGAGTCAGGCTACAGGAACCATAATCCATAACAGGTTTATTTTGTATTAAACTCTTAATCAAATATGGCACTCTTTCTAATAATAATTTTATTTATTTTTTTTGTCTCAGGAGGTGCAGCGGCACCGCTGGACGGTGCTTACAAGGTGGAATCGAACCAGCACCCTCAACAACATGATCCACTCTACTATCAGGTAATTTATTTATTTATTTATTTATTTATTATATAAATATGGTATTAAAACTTATTATATATCTATTGCGATATCTTCGCAATAGAAGTTTAAATATCATTATTTATTTGTCTTCAAGACCCGAGTGAATAGGTTGCTATATGCTGTAGGCTTATAGGTAGGCTTGTTCCGTTGTAAGAAAACCCGAATGTCAAAAGTTTTTAGTGAAAATTTACAATCGAGCATCGTAGCTTTCTACTAAAATTCTGATTGTTAAGAAGGATAAGAAAAAATACCAATGTACCAAGATTGTGCGCAATCAAATTGAAAACAGGAAAACCTGTTGTCTATACTAATATTATAAAGAGGTAAAATTTGTAAGTTTGTATGTAGGGGGTAATCTTTGGAACCGCTGGTCGGATTGCCAAAATTCTTTCACTGATAGATAACTACAATGTTCCCGAGTGCTATAGGCTATAAAACATCACGCTACGATTAAATGGAGCCGAGCAGCGGGTGACCCCGCGCGAGAGTAGCTAGTGTTATATAAAAATATTATTATTTTTGTCACACAGAACGCGTCAGCCGAAATGGCCGGTCCGACCAATCAGGACGGGTTTCTCCAGTCCATCCTGAACGATGAGGATTTGCAGCTCATGGACATGGCTATGAATGAAGGTACGTGCTTACCCGATAAAGATACTACTAGTTAGTTAGGTAATAAATTTAAACTAAATTTAAACAATCTTGTAAAGACTTTTTATCTAAAAATAAAAGTATTCGTGGTAGCCTGGAGGTTAAGGAGCCCGCTTCTCATGCATGAGGGTGTGGGTTCGAAACCTGGCAAGTACCAATGTGACTTTTTCCGAGTTATATGTACTTTCTATGATTATTTAGACACCACTGACATACGGTGAAGGCAAACATCGTGCTGAAACCTGAACTTATAATTTCTAATTATAAGTTTGAAATCGCCAACCCGCATTGAGCAAGCGTGGTGATTAATGCTCAAACCTTCTCCGTGTGAGAAGAGGCCTTTGCTCAGCAGTGGGCACTTATAGGCTGATGATGACGATGATGATTTAGCTAATAAACTGAATTTAAATAATCTTTGTATGTACATCATACGAGCTCTTTAATTTAAAAAGACATACCAACATTGTTTACCTTTAGTTAACCACCTAAACAAAAATGTCAGTAAAGTAATTGCTTCAGTGTGACGATTGTCTTTCTACAGCTCCGATCGGTATCTATAACCTTTTATAATAAAACTGTCTTTTGCTTTACATTTCTATTTCACCAAGTGACTAGTTAACTTTCCTTTGCACCCATCGAACATGTAGCGACATCTATCGCCAATATACCTACCAATTAAGTTACGTAGTTCTACCGGTATGCCGATAGATGTCGCGATTAACATCGCAACTTAAAATTGGTATTGGTCATCGTTTGTCTGGTCCGAATCGCGTATTTTTTATTTTGTTTTATTTAAAAGTTTACAATATAATCTTTACAGGTGTACACCCAATGCGTTTTATGTTGTTATAAATGTATTTGTAGTTTCTTTAGCAATTAAAGTGTAAAGAAAACACCAAAGTAAGTTCAAGTGATTAGCAGTGTCACAAGGCATGAATACTGCGCCTTTTTTGGTTGTAATTTGGAATCTATAGGTGAAAACCTGAATTAATACATAGGCTTTATCAACATACGACGCGAGCGAAGACGCGGGCTAAATGTAGTCCTTCATAAACACAACACATGATATTTAACCCTATTCGCTATATGGCACCGCGACCTCGGCCCAAAACAGGAGAAGGGACGGGGTGTTTTTAGGCAGTAAGAGTCTGACACTCTCTCTCGCCTTACCCTAGGCGGGAGAAGTCGTTTGATGATTTTCCCCTAAAAAAAAAAACCCCTTTTCACTATAACAATGGCTGATAATTTCAAATGAAACGCAAAAAACGCATCATAAAGAAGAATAAAAACTCAAACTCATTAATTTTAATCTTTTTAATACATTTACTGAGAAGCAAATACGTATACAAAAACCTTAAACCGAAAACCAAATAACTAGAAACGTCCTTTAACGAATTTTAATCCTTATCGCCAATGTAAATACATTTAAAAGTCTACCTTAAAGTCATAAGATAAGGTTGGAAGTCGTTGACACAGTTATCAGGATGTAAGGTTTATTTTCACTTAAATTGTTTAGTTAAAATTTATATGGTAATTGTTATTCTAGTGAGCCAGATGTCTTAAAGTTATCTATGACAGTTGACACTTGTAATTTAATAAACAAATCTGTCAACAATAAGTTGACATGGTTGTGTTGTCAAAATGTCCTGGCAAATAGTCAAATTTATTACTTATCAAATTGACTGTTTAGGCTCTATGGATCTAGCCAGGGTTCGGCCTAGAGCAAGAGAAAGAATGGGGGGGTTTTTAGTCAGTAAGAGTCTGACACTCCCTGGTCTGGGCGGGAGAAGTCATTTGATGATTTTCCCCTCGCAAAAGAAGGCTCTTAAGGATCTAATGAATCGTGTCACTGGCTGAAGATTTAATACCATTTTCTTTATTGTTTCTATGTTCTAACGAGAAGCCAGATATTCCAGATTTATTTGTTTATATAAATATAAAAATGTAAACACACACAAAGATTTTCTCGTATGTCAAACAAACATACAGTTTCACAAACACACCACGCACAGGAACAATAATTTGTCGATTTCTTCTTTTTCTTCTAAAGGACTCTAGGAGTTTTTCTTCTTAAGGCTTATGATTTAACGCAACTCAGCGCAGAATTCAATCCGCACTTTAGTTTTGCGTCTCAATGTATTTTATAGGTAACCCTACCAGTTAAAAATGAATTAAAATTATTATAATATTCTAGACGATCGTCTCAGTCGGAAATAGTATTAAAATGACAAAAATCATGTGGCATTTCATTTGCATTGCACATACGCACTATTCACTCGTTCTTCTCTATAGCAATCTACACTTTGGAACGAGCAAATAGCTTCACTAGAGGACTGACTGACAGACTGTCCTTTTTTATGTAATAGGTCGGCAAAAGAGCTGACGGATTACCTGATGATAAGCAATCAGCCCCGCCTATGGACACTCGTTATACCAAAAGACTTTCTACAAGATTAGGGATTGGAAGAGGGTAAAGATTGGGTCTCCGGTAACCTCACTCACACGGCGAAACACAACGCTGTGGTTGTTTCACGCCGGTTTTCTATGAGGCCGTGGTATCACTCCAGTCGAGCCGACCCATGCGTGCCGAAACATGGCTCTCTCACACTTAAAAAATACATTTTTTTAATGCCTTCAATAAATAGACCATGTCTTCATAATTTTGAGCGCGAAATATACTTATAATACGAAAGAATCAAAATAGATCGGTGAAATACCGCTGTGTTGATAGGCTTATTAGAATTTTATTATTAAAAACTTAGATTACGTATCTTACAATTAATATTACATAATATAGTTTATTTACTTAATAACTGAATGTATATAAATCTTTCTTATCCTTATGATATGGATTAATTATGTAATAATGTCGTCAATATACTATTTGGCGCTTACTGTAAGTTGATTATTTATTAATAATACGTTTATAAAGTACTAGGTATTCTCGCGCGGTTCTACCCGCTGCTCGACTAAGTTTAATCGTAGCGTGATGTTTTATAGCCTATAGCACTCAGGAACATTGTAGCTATCTATCAGTAAAATAATTTTGGCAATCCGACCAGCGGTTCCAAAGATTACCCCCTACATACAAACTTACAATTTTTACCTCTTTATAATATTAGTATAGATAATGTCGTCAATATACTATTTGACGCTTACTGTAAGTAGATTATTTATAAAAAGAATATGATTCTTTTTCTTTTATAATACGTTTATTAGGTACCTACTAGCTATTCTCGCGCGGTTCCACCCGCTGCTCGGCTCACGGCGTGATGTTTTATAGCCTATAGCACTCAGAAACATTGTAGCTATCTATCAGTGAGAATTTGGCAATCCGACCAGCGGTTCCAAAGATTACCCCCTACATACAAACTTACAAATTTTACCTCTTTATAATATTAGTATAGATAATGTCGTCAATTACTCTTTGGCGCTTACTGTAAGTAGATTATTTATAAAGAGAATATGATTCTTTTATTATACGTTTATTAAATGTATCTACAGAATATAAAACAAAGTCGCTTTCTCTGGTCCTATCATCATCATCTGCCTATAAGTGCCCACTGCTGAGCAAATTCCTCTTCTCATACGGAGAAGGTTAGAGCATTGATCACCACGCTTGCTCAATGCGGGTTGGCGATTTCAAACTTATAATTAGAAATTATTACTTCAGGTTTCCTCACGATGTTTCCCTTCACCGTATGTCACTCACCTGTATATATGTATAAATGTAGGTATATATAATCTTTATTATCCTATACACGTGTTAGTGACATATATTAAATATATCAACATATAATACATAATAAGCAAAATATCTTATTACTACGCTGTGATAATACAAATCCAATATCAAAATTGATCCCTATCAAAAACAGGTGTCACAAGCAATCACGAATGAATTCACACCTTATTTACAAAAGTTTAAAGTTTGAATTACCACGTTTTGGTTATACAAATAAATATTGCGTACGTAGCAATGTAAAATCAACTCTGTCGCTAAGGTGATGAGGCGTAGTTTAGCGTATTCATCATGTTGAATGCATGTTTGAACCGGTTTTTTGCGAGTTGGTACTGGAAAAATCCGGTTTGCAGTTTGAGGAAAATTAGAAGTGGCGCTTTATCTATATTATGATTTTGTCACTACATAGTATAAAACAAAGTCAATTTCTCTGTCCCTATATCCCTATGTATGCTTAAATCTTTAAAACTACGCAACGGATTTTGATGCGGTTTTTTAATAGACACAGTGATTGAAGAGGAAGGTTTATATGTATAATGACATCCATTAAATAGTGGAGAAATTTAGTATAAGCGTTGCACCCGAGCGAAGCCGGGAGGGTCGCTAGTAACACCATGAAAAAACTGCAGAAAATTGGATTTCACAGTATTAAAATTTATCGAAAAGCCACTATAAGATTTCTTCTATAAAAAATGTTGCCTAAAGATATCGGATGTGTTATATCTACATCAAGAGTAACGGTGTGGCGTAAGGCGAAAAATCTCTCAGATGGCCTCTCCCGCCCATGGTCAGGCGGAACGGAACGCAGTGTCAGACTCTTACTGACTAAAAACCCCCCTGTTCCTTTTCCTGCTCTGGGCCGAGGCCGCGGTGCCTCATTGCGTAATTCTCTAACGCGGTCCGCTTTCTTCTTTGCGACCATAACTGCTTCGCAGAAGAAGGAGGCTACTCAGTTCCTATCGCTCCGCACCATGGCCTTGACTAAGGCCAGACGCGAGAGGTCAAGTATAACGGTGATGACACGTCTTAAGTGGGAGAGCCATGCTTCGGCACGAATGAGTCGGCTCGACCGGAGTGATACCACGGCCTCAAAGAAAACCGGCGTGAAATAACCACAGCGTTGTGTTTTGTGAGTGAGATTACCGGATGCCCAATCCTTTCCCTCCCCAATCCCTAAATGTCCTAAATCCCAAATCCATGGGCGGCGCTGATTGCTTACCATAAGGTAATCCGTTTGCTC